AAATGAATTATGCTCAATAGCCATGTTAAATAATTTATCAGAAATGGTTATCAGAGACATCCCCCATGCATTACCAAAAAAAAAGTGAGAGGGGGGCTGAAATAAAGGCACAGGTGGTCAAAGGTCTAGGGTGGGAAGACAAAGACCAGTGAGATTTTAATTTTTTTAATTTTCCATGTATTTCCTTTTTCCCAAACTGTTTCAAAAGAGGGCACACAAAAGGAAAAACTTACAACTATGTGGAAATTTATCCCCTATTCCACTAATTCACATTTTCAAACTACTTCTAGTACTATAAACAAGGGATAAAACACAGTTTTGAAGAACCTATCTCCTCACCCATAGCTTCCAAAATCAACTTTCACCCATTTTGGGACAATACAAAATATGGCCCTGGGCTTTAATTTTGAAATGTAGTTCTAAATATACTTTGTCAGTATTTTTTAATTTGATGGAAAGAGGATGATTGTATTAAAGACAAGGCAGGTGGGCCTGCCAACCAAAGCTAAGTATATTAACTTGAAAATACTCCCAAGGTATATTAAAAGGATCCTTATGCACTTATCTACAAGTCTTAAGATTCTGTAAATAATGAAGAATCGATAATAAAGAATAATAAAGAAACAGCCATTGTTCTTGGTTCCTGGGAAGGAGACTCTAAATCCTTGGGAGTGTTTGTTATTCACAAGCCCTCTGGAAGACACATGCATTTACGCTAATGTGGGACTCATGGGCCCTAGATAACAGCTTTAGGATGGGGACTGTTCACCAAAAAACCAACCACATAACTAGAGGGTTGTGACTTTGAGCCAGTCCAACTTCCAGGGAAAGAAGGAGGCTGGAGACTGAGTTCAATCATGTGGCCAATGATCTGATCAATCAATCATGCCTACACAATGAAACTCCGATAAAAATTCTGGGAACTAGCCAGATTTGTAGCCAGTCGGTTAGACGTGTGGGTGGCCTGGGGATGCTACCTTCAAACTGGCATCTGAAGTTACGTAGTCTTGCTGGGGACTATGTGCCCTTAAATCTGTGGAGTCTGATGCTAACTTAGGGTATTTAGTGTTAAAACTGAATTGCAGTACAGTAGATGGGACTGAAACAGAATATACAAGATTCTTGGAACAACACAGGTTTGAACTGCATAGATCTACTTACATGCAGATTTTCCCAATAAATACAGTACAATACGATTAAATGTATTTTTCTTCCTTATGATTTTCTTAATAACATTTTCTTTTCTCTAGTTTGCTGTAAGAGTACAATATATAATACATACAACACACAATGCATGCATTGATTGACTATGTTATCAGCAAGGCTTCAGGTCAACAGTAGACTATTAGTACTTAAGTTTTGGGAAGTCAGTAGTTATACATGGATTTTCAACTGTGCAGGGGGTCAGGATCCCTAACCTCCACGTTGTTCAATGATCAACTGTGGATTTAGAAATTAATTCTAAAATACTATATGCCTAGGTATAAACAACCAAAAAAAAAACTTAAATAGAAATGAACTATTAAAACTGTACTTAAAGGCTCAAATCAGCTGATAAAATAATCAAATCTCACTTCAACACCTGTGATGGAAAATAACTACTCTTGCATTATGGGGTCCCTCTCAAAGTAAAAGACATGTACTATAAATTGCGATGAACAAAATCTCACATGTTAATTGATCAAATCTGTAAGGCTGGAGTTTCAATAATTTTTAGTAACTATGGTATGCACATCTTGGCTTTGCTTTGAGAAATCTGATCATAAATCTTAGCTTAAAAAGCAGAGGAATTAGAAGGACATTATGAATTCAATAAAAAAAGTATCCACACTATACCAAAGAATGCATTACTAATTTTAAAAGCTTACTAGTACAATTACAGTATGATTTTATTTTCAAACGCAATTAAATAAGAAACATATATACTGCAAATTGCAATAACAAAATGAGAATTCCTCTCTATGCTGCCAGTGTCATTTACTAATAGCGTTAATTTACTATGTCATTGCAGAAGGTATAAGGGTTTCCTCTCTGGATCAGTCTCAAGTGCACTGACTTACCCCTAAATTTTATCTGATCAATCCAGTAGCAAAAGCTAAGCAATTACAAAAAGGCAAACCATTAGAAGAACTACTAGTACCAGTAACAGCACAGGTTAACCAGCAACCTTAACATTTTTTCCATTAAAAATGAAGCTATTTCTCGAGTGAACGGTGGTGAGTACCTATTATGAGTAATGAAATGTATAAGAAACAGTCTCTTCTGTGAGGGGGCTCAGAGTCTACTGAGGAAAGACAAACACAGAAACATAACTATTATTTTACAAATCACGTATCTGTGGCTACTATTTGCTAATGGTGCCTATGCATCGGGCCCTATTAGGGCTTTTACATACATTCACTGATTTAATCCCCACTCTCTAAAACTTAGGTATAAGAAGGGCACTGCATAGATGAATGAGACTGGATAAAGAACTGCAAAACCGAGAAACTTGAATTATTTTGGATTATTTCCTTAGTACCCTTCTGCAGTATAAAAAATTAGGAAATATCAATTTTTAATAGATTATGTTGGTAATTATATGCATTTCTCACTAGCACTGACTATTTATGTCCCCCCACCAAATTTATATATTAAATCCTAATGCCCAATGTGATGATATACGGCGGCTGGGGGCCTGTGGGAGGTGATTAGGTCAGGAGAGTAGAGCCCTCATGAATAGGATTAGTGCCTTTATAAAAGAGGCCCCAAGGAATTCCCTTGCTCCTTTTTACCATGTGAGGTTACAGCAAGAAAACAGCCATCTATGAAATAGGAAGAAGGCCCTCACCAGACAATAAATCTGCTGGTGCCTTGATCTTGGAATTCTCAGTCTCCAGAACTGGGAGAAATAAATTTCTGTTGTTTATAAGCCAACCAGCCTATGGTATTTTATTATAGCAGCCCAAATGAACTAAGATACCTATTAACTTATACCAAATGGAATGGTAATTATAATGGTGTTCAAAAAACAATAAAAGCCACTTAATTCTAATTGTTTGAGAGAGAGTGCATCCATATTAATAAAATTTTGAATTTCAGTCTGTTTAAAAAAGTATTAATTTCAAGTATGTACAGTGAATCAAATTCTAAGTGTACAAAATATATATCCATTGGGGTCTATATCCATACATAAAACTCACTTGTACTAGAAGTATCTAATATTTTTAAATAGCTTTTTCATAAAATCAATCAAAAGTATCTTCTAGAATCTTCATTCATTTATCAAGTATACAAGTGATGCCAGAGAAGCAGAGCCTCAAGAGGGAGGGCCTTAGGCCACTGCCAACAGGGTTCTTGATTTTGTGTGAGAAAGAATTCAAGGGCAAGCCATTTAGGGAAAGGGGCACAGATTTATTAAGTACAGAAATAAGAAAGCTTCTACTTCACGAAATAGTGGTCTCTCCTCCCAGGTGAGCAAGAAGACCTCCCCACCCTTTGTCTCTAATGAAACATTTTCTTTTCTTTTTCTTTTTTTAAGATTTTATTTATTTATTTGACAGAGAGAGACAGTATAAGCAGGGGGGAACAGCAGAGGGAGAGGGAGAAGCAGGCTCCCCACTGAGCAGGGAGTCCAATGCAGGTCTGGATCCCAGGACCCTGGGATCATGAACTGAGCCAAAGGCAGACGCTTAACTGACTGAGCCACCCAGGCACCCCTAACAAAGGATTTTATAAATTTTTTTTTTTTTTTTTAATTAGCTAACCACACAGGAAGGAGCTTACTCTTTAACTTTGGGCCTATCATTCATATTGGGCAATTAGTTTCTCCACTGTCTTAGAGTTTTGGAATTACCCACATGGAGCAATTTTAAGAATGTCCAGCATATGTGACTTTTACTGCTGGACAGAGTGGGGTCTTGTGGTTTCCCATGAGTCGGATCTTGTGACTCTTTTCTTGGTTTCCTGATTTTTAGGTTAAGGGTCAGCCTAAAATCAAAATGGCTTTACTCTGGTCAACTTATCTCTCAAGTTCTTCTTTCCTCCTGCCTCCTGCCTCAAGTGTTAAGCATATACTATGTGCCAGGCTCTGTTCAAGATATTGGGAACATAGCAGAGAACAAAAAGTTCAGATGTCTGTGCTCTAGTTTATACTCCAGTAGTTCCTGCTTAATACTGGTAAATATTTAAGCAAAATCTTTTGAAATTTTGACTATTAAATACATTTAAATGTTTGAATTAGAATTTAATTTTAAGGCTAAAATGTCTACTACTTTATCCCATATAAGCACATGAAAATAAGCAGTAACTGGCATTAAGAAAACAATGCCTCCTCAAATGATTTCCCCATTACCATGATAGACAAGTTTAACCACCCCTAAAATATACATAAATTATGTAGAACCAATATATATCAAGGATAATATAATTAAGTAATATTAACATTAATTGCTCAAAATAATCAGGAGACTGTCTATTAAGTATAAAAAAATTTTTTCAGAACTTTGGTACTCAAAAATACAAAATTTTTTGGCCTGTCTTCCAAAATTTCTAAAATGTTTATCTGTAGGTCATTTAATTTTAAACATTCATGATTTTCATAGTTTTTGTCTTCAGATCTAACTCACATACATTAGTTAAAATATTAGCACTTTAAAGTACCTTCCCAATTTGATAGTTTCCAAGTGTAAAACACAAAGATACAGCTTGTAGTTTTGATAATTCATTAGCATTGCAGCTAACTTTCTACATGTATAAAGACAGAAAGGAGATTCCAAATGAGTTACTCTAATGTAAACAGGAAGGTGGTAGAAAACAGAAAGATGGACCAACAGACCAACCCTCAGTTCTCATAGAGGATCTTAGAGGGGGTGGGATGAGGGAGGGACAGACATGAGACATCAATGTATTTGTAAGATTCTATTTCTTAAACTCTAAGTAGTGGATACAAAGGTATTTGTTTTCACAATCTACGTTTCTGTATGCCTGAAATATATAGTAATTTAAAAAAACAGACTCACCGATCAATTACAATTTCTTTCTGTCTCAGCAGTCCTTCTTTTATTTTCAGCACTGATTCCCACTTATTGAAATCCTGATAGCCAGAAGGTGAATAACTTTGACGAGACGATCCAGTCAAAACCTGCACAAATATATTTATACTATTAGTATACTGAAAGTGTCTAAAGGGAATATTTCAATGATATCTAATATTTTCCTAATGATTTTCATTAAAAAAGGGAGAACTCTCCCTTTGATTTTTTTTTTTTTAAGACTGTCTGAAATCACACTTGTGAATACAAAGTAACTTGAAGAATTTCAAGGAAGTTCTGAAGTAAAAGTACAAGTCTAATGAACTGGTGACAATAGAATATTTAATCTGGCTTATTATAACACTATAAATAAGATCTTATTATCTTGTGGAAACTTTCTGGAAATGAGAGATTAATCACTCACTGCCTAAGGAAGAACTACAATAAGAAAATGTTCCATGGTTAGACTAGACAAACATTATAGGAAAGGTTTCCACAAGGAAATAAAAATAGTACCTGTAGTATGCAGATTTCAAATTGTCATCCAACACATCACATTTATTTACATTAAACTTTCATACGCAAAAATATTTTCACAAAATAGTAAACATATTTATAGAAAATATGACTTAAACAGGCATAATCTGGGTGGGTGATTACTGGCCTCCAGTGTAAATTACATACCTAACTTAGAAAAAAATCTGCTTAGAATTTAAGAGAAATTTCAAATATTTAAAACAAATCAACACTGATAAAAACCAATATGGCAGATATCCCCAAATTCCTATGACTGAAACCAAAAAAGAAAACCTTAATTGACTAATAATCATAGATTGAATTGTGTCTCCTCAAAAAGATATGTTGAAGTCCTAAGTCCCAAGTACCTCAAGATGTAACCTTCTTTGGGAACAGGGCCTTTACAGATATAGTCAAGTTAATATGAAGTCATTGGGGTGGGCCCTAATCCAATATGACTGGTCTCCTATGTAAAGGGGAAATCTGACTACAAATACACGCAGAAGACGACTATGTAAAGAGATACAGAAAGAACACCATCTGAAGATGAAAGCAGATATAGTAGTGATACATCTACACACCAAGCAACACAAATGACTGTCAGGAAACCACTAGAAATGCAGCTTGGAACAGATTCTTCTTCACAAGCCTCGGAAGAAAACAACCCGGCCAACACCTTGGTTATGGGCTTCTAACTTCCAGAACTGTGAGACAATAAATTTCTGTTGTGTAAGCTACCCAAGTTTGTATCCTTTGTTACGGCAGCTACAGGAAACTAATACAACTGGTAAGTCAAGTAGGAACATAAGTTCCTTGGCAAGCTAAATAACCCTACAGAAACACTCCAAAGCAACTTTAGGAAAATTCAAATGTGCAGTGATATTTTTATCCTTTGTTTTCCAAAGATGTTACTGGCAAGACCTACTTCTGAATAAACCACTAATTTTGTGACATCAACTAGTCCTGGATTAACCCCTTAAATTATGATTTTCAAGTAATACTAGGATAGGATGTTTCAGGCAGAAGTCAGACAAAACAAGATGAACAGACTAGGAAGGATAGAAACCAGGAGATAGCAGGGTACATAACTTGTCATATGCGCAGATATTTGGAGTGTAAGTGACATAGGGTTATAGGGGCAGCTTAGTCAGAGATCCTGTGTCTGAATCTCACTTTTTCCTTTGCCTAACATACAACCCAGACTAATAATAAGCCATATGCCCTAGTACAGACATGTTAGTTGCTACAATAATGAAGTGTTTTTTACTGTGGTTGGTAACTAGCTGTTGCCCAAACCCCCTGAAGGTCCTCTCCACTATTCAACAAATAAAGAGTTCTTGGCATTAAAAAAGGGCTTTCAAGATGCTCCATCCATAAATGGCATCCTTTCTGATTGCTTGGTTCCCTACACTGCACTAGTCAACCCTCCAAAATTTTCCCATCTCAATACTACCTACCAGCTTATATTTAATTGACAGAACTAGGATTCAAACCTGGGCACTCCAACAAAAGAGCATGTGGTCTTAAGTACCACACTGCGTCCACTATCGCCTAAATAAGGTATTCACAAAATTTCATATCATCACAAGAGCTGAAAACATTTTTTAAAGATCTTATTTATTTATTTGAGAGAGAGAAAGTGAGAGACAGAGTATGAGTGAAAGGGGAGGGGCAGAGAGAGAGAGAGGGAGAAGCAGACTCCCTGCTGAGCAGGGAGCCTGATACGGGGCTTGACCCCAGGTCCCCAGGATCATGACCTGAGCCAAAGGTAGATGCTTAACCGACTGAGCCACGCAGACGCCCCTGGAAAACATTTTTGAGTGTAACTGCTCTTAGGAGCTGAGAGAGGATTCAGCACCATAAATATTGCTGATATTATGAGAAAGTCTCTACTTACAGCAACTCCATGTTACTTAATGACTATCAATTTAGTGGGCAAGTCACTTGATGAAATTTATTTTGTCAAGTTATGACTCAAACAGGAATTCATTAAAACTAGTAAAAGCTAATAAGCAAAATAAAAGACCGTATCAACAATTCTAAAACTCAATGTAAGATTTGGAAATTATCAGAATGATTTGGTAAACCATTTGTGCTAGAATTTATAATACCAAATATTTCATTTATTTGGTGACTAAGAGTGCATATACACTTTATATATATACTGAGTTATACACTAATATCTGATACCAGTTGACAGATATTTTAAATATTGGTTTTTGTAGATGTTATCATGCCTAACAAAAAAACTCAGATATTTTAAGGATCTATAGTCTCCTCTTCCAAAGATCTAAAAAAGGTTCCTCCATTTCTAATTATCACACATCAGGAATGACTGATACCATAGTATCTGAAGCTATGTTTTACCTCCTGTATCTTGTGCCTAATTCAATAAGACAAGTGCCCACAGCTCAAAAAAGTCAACAACAACAATAACAAAAAGTGCCCAGGCAATAGATGATGATCTTGTGAAGAAAACATTAACTTTTCTACTCTTCGTAAGTCATCTGCTACAGATTTTTCCCATGACTGATAACTTCCTAAGGAGAAGCCTTTTCTTGTTTTGAAACACTTGCTGGCATCAAGAAAGAGGGAGCGTGAAAAGAAAGAAAAGGAGGTTTGCAAGAGAAAAGCAAATAACGATACCACTTGGGTGTATAACACTGGAAACATTTGCAGAATACACTGCTAAAATACTTGCCAGATACTTCTATGAATATACATAAAACAAAATATGAAAATTTATTCATCTGATTGATCTACACCCTTTAGAAAACAAATCAAAATTGAGCTATGAAACTGAGCAAACGGGAATAAAGAAAATGAGGAAAGGCAAGCCTTCCCCTGTAGTTAAGATGCAATAATATTTAAAAAGTACTGAGAGTTAATAAATATTACAAGTTCCCATCACAAGGAAAATTTTTTTTGTAATTTTGTACAGTGATGGATGGTAACTAGACATAGTGGTGATCATTTCACAGCGTATACAAATACCAAATCATTATGTTATACACCTGACACTAATATAATGTTAAATGTCAATTATACCTCAATTAAAAAAAAATGTAACAGACAAAGAATTACCAAAAGAGCAGCATGACAGTCTTCCTTACTAAACTTCAACCCTGATTCATAAAAAGAGTATAAAAAGGAGAACAAAATCTGACACACAACCAAATGCTGCAAGTGAATTTAAAAGTAATTTTTAAATTGTTTATAACTGCCTACCACTAAAAATGACAATTATGGAGACATTTTTGCATCTAAGGCTTTTATAATAAGGCCATATTACTATGTAATAAAGCTATATTAAAGAAAATTATAAAATGCAACTTGAAATAGATATTTAAGTTTTTTTTTAAAAAAAATCATATTGTAAAGTCTCAAATAGCAAGGCAGCAACCGTACCTTTATGACCTTACATACAATATAAACAATGCTATACTACTAAAGATACACAGAAAAGGAACAATTGTAAAAATTTATTTTTTATTATAATTTAGAGCAGTTCACACTTCAGTCTCAGCAAGGCTGAAAGAGAATCTGACAGAAATAGCAGAGGATTGTTTTGTAGTACATGTGTAAAAAAATCAGTTATCTACCCTGAAAACACATTTTGTAAGTTCTAAAAGATTTGAAGAGTAAGAAGGGAATTAGATTATGTTCAAACTGGTTCTTCACATTTCCACGTTAGTCTCTCAGAGGTTATTCTTTTGGTTTTTCTTTTTAAGATTTTAGTTATTTGAGAGAGAGCACTAGCAGGGGGAGGGGCAGAGAGAGAGGGAGAGCAGATTCCCTGCTTAGCAGGAAGCCCTACAGGACACTACATGGGGCTCTCGGGGCTCAATCCTAGGATCGTAGGACCCCGGGAACATGACCTGAACCAAAGCGGGACGCTTAACTGACTGAGCCACCCAGGTGTCCCATTTCAGAGGGTTAGTCTTCAAAAACTGTCAATGTAAAGTGTCAGCAAATGTTAAAGGTTTCCTCCCCCTTATTTATAAAACAGAAACTGTCCTCTCTTTTTATTTGATTACATATTTGTAATTACATATTTGATAAGCTGAAGATAACTTATGAAATCTTATTAGTATCAATTATCTATTGGTTTCCAAGCATTGTACTCAAAAGCAGCTGGGGTGAGGCTTTTTCCCCAATGACACAATAGGAACCTTGAGAATACATAAAGGCACACTTTATAGTTCCGGACAGCACTATCTTAGCTTTGGAACATTAACGTATGTGCAAAAAGAAAGGTAGCCAAGTGAAATTGCCTTAAAACCTTCACCGTGAAAGTTATTGAAAATCAAGCCCAAGATAAAAAATAATGTTTTCTTTGTTTTATTATGGATTAGGAGTTAATGTGATTTGCAGACCCTGCTCTTGCACAATACTAGCTAACATGAACAAAATAGAAGCAGGAATGGCAATATCATTCATAAATTTTATTGTCATAAAATTCTAGCCAAAGAAGGATTAAATTTTTAAAAATCCTAAGATAAATTAAATAAAAATTAAAAAATGAGAAAGTTTTATATTGGTAAAAAGCAACATTCACCAAGAAGATAAAATAGACACAATAAACTGCATATGA